AGGGCAATGTGGGGTGAAAAAATGCAAGAATTCGTATTTGGAATTAGGAGAGGTGCGGGGATTACCAAAACTGTTGTCCAGGGGGCTGAGGAAGGGTTGTTGGGGTGTTCGGACATGTAGAGAGAATGGAGCGAAACAAAATGACTTCAAGAGTGTATCAGTCTGTAGGGGAAGGAAGGCGGGTAGGGTCGGCCTAGGAAGGGGTTGGAGGGAGGGGGTAAAGGGGGTTTTTGGGTGTGCGAGGGGCTTGACTTCCAGCAGGCATGCGTGAGCGTGTTTGAATAGGAGGAATGGAAAACAAATGGTTTTTATACTTACGTGCTGTTGGAGTGTGAGCAAAGTAACATTTATGAAGGGATTCAGGGAAACCGGCAGGCCGGACTTGAGTCCTGGAGATGGGAAGTACAGTGCCTGCACTCTGAAGGAGGGGTGTTAATGTTGCAGTTTAAAAACTGTAGTGTAAAGCACCCTTCTGGCAAGACAGTGATGGAGTGAATGATGGTGAAAGTTTTTCTTTTTCGGGCCACCCTGCCTTGGTGGGAATCGGCCAGTGTGATAAAAAAAAAAAAAAAAAAAAAAAAAAAAAAAAAAAATATATAATAGGAAAGTGTTAGTTTCTCATCAATGTATTAATAAAATATGGAGGAGCAGAGCTTCCATACCAAGGAAAGGGAGGAGGCTCCAATTCCTTGGACTAAGGTTGCACTAGAGAAACACTAATTAAATTATCTCAGTTATGAGGCACTCCCAACCTTCTACACTTTTTTTTTCTCTCCATATGAAAATTATCCATACTTTCACTTGGCTTTGTTTCCTGTCCCTTTAAGTTGCTAAAGTGCACCTCATTCAGATTCCATACATTAAATGCACATATGACTTACACCCCTTTTTCTAAATCAGTCATGTGAATGATGTGTATTAAAGTGCTAATGTACATTGTGACTGGCCTCTTTATGACTAAAAGAGTGAAGTGAGAAACGGCCCGGAATTTTGACAGAACTTTAACAATGAAATGTAAGTATAATTTATCTACAGTATTTGTTACATTACTGACTGGACACTATTTCTTCTGCAAAGCGAAGCTTAAAAAAAAAGTAAATTTCAAATTATGGCTGGTCTTTTGTTCAAATCGGTTTTTAACCCTTTGAGGGTCGGCAGGTCATCTCAGACTTGTTCTCAGGGTTGACCAAATTTAAAAAAAAAAAAAAAAGAACTTATGAAAAGATAGAGAATCTTTTCCCTATCATAATGACACCAAAAGTATGAAATTTGATGGAAAACTTACAGAATTATGCTCTTGCGAAGTTAGCGGTCTCGACGATGTTTACGCATCGGCGATTTTGCCTACTTTGAGCCCTATTTTCGGCCAATTCCAGTGTACTAGTCGACACAAATCATAACTATTTCGCTAGAACTTCTCCATTTTTTCTATCAAATGAGTACAAGAAACCACTCATTTACCAATTTCAACTATCCAATAAGTGGTCAGAATTTAGCAATTTTGCCAATCTCGCACAAATTTCAAAAGATTGCCAATTTCTGAATAGGGTCCAGAATAAACAAGAAATACATTCCTGGCACTAAAATAACAAGTTCTCTGTTCATTAGTCAAATCCCCAGGCCCCTCTTATATTTCTTTGGCTTTCCACTTTGTATTTTTATTCTTACAAGAAAAAAAAAAAGATTTACTGTTATGCGATTACTGCAATTAGTGTAGAAATGGTATAAATAATATCAGCGCACTTGTGAAAGAATATTAGACTCGCCAGTTGATGTGCATTGGATGCTTGGCATGATTTGTTTACTTTTGAACTTTGGTAAAAATTGAACAATTCTGCTACTTTAAGCTCAATTTCAAGGTACTTTTCATTGTAAACCAGTCAAAATCCTCTCAATTTCTGTAATATGTCTTCAATTCTATAAAATGAGATTAAGAAAACTAGAATACAACAATAAATACCATACGAAAATACAGTGCAAAGTCGCTGTTTTAATCCAAAAACATGGTTAGTTTTTTTTTCTCATTACGCACTGTGTGCTGCAGGATTTTTTTTATACTGCGCACACTGACCACAGACCCATTCTTTCATATGTAGGCCTACCAGCTTTCTCTCACTAGATCTGAGGGCGCTAGAATTTAGGCGTACTAGTACGTCAAAAATCCTGGGTCGTAAGCCGTACTAGTACGTCCGAAACCCCCAAAGGGTTAACAATATTAACTAATTCAAGGTTCTGAATAATACAAACATGTTAGGTTATTGAAGAATTTTTCTTAAAAGGTTCATCTTTACAGGCAAAGAACAGTTATTCTACCTTAGTTCATTTCGAAACCTCTTAGTTGTGTTTCTCTCCTGGGATAAAACCTCTTAAGACCTAATGTTAACACAGTTATCAACACCTACTGGAATCTACTGGCTAGATAAACATATACAGCAGGTATTTAGCATACAAATTCATTAGAAAAAGTTCTAAATTTTTATAATTTAGAGGAAATTGTAAACCAACTACCAGCAATCTACCGGCATTTGAAAATGATAAAGTTGCAATATTAAAGTGTACAATTCTGAAGTTTGAGAAATGAATATGAAAATTATCACACAAGTAGAGCAGCATTTCTACTTGATGAATATTTAAACTGATAACATCAATGTAGGTAGAGAAAAATAAAAAAAAATTGTTTAATGTACCTCTGCAGTCATCTGTACTGTTACTATAAACAAAATGGATGTTGTGATAACATAGGATAATATAACAATGATCTGCCAGTAACTAACAGAAGAAAAAAGAAAATTAAAAATAGGAACTTACTAATCCACAGTGATAACTGGGTTGTCTTCACCAAGGGCCAAACCAATGGCTTTTTTGCAGAACTCTGCACTACCAGAGATGGGCAAATACTCATGGTCTAACTTCTGGCTAATAATCAATTCCTCAGCCTGAAATAAAACCACCAAACACACATTGAAAATTCCTTATAAGATACATATAAATCATACATCAATAACAACACTGCACTAGCCAAGGACTCGAACCCATGCTGCTTTGGCCTGTCTCATGGTGGGTGAAAACACATGACGCCCTTATCCATGTGTTTTTGCCCACCATGAGGTAGGCCAAAGCAGCATGGGTTCGAGTCCTTGGCTAGTGCAGTGTTGTTATTGATCAATACCACTCGTTCGTGGTCACAATAATATAATCATACATGTATAAAAAAAAATTATTAATATTCTCCAGATTTTTTATTAGCTTATTAATGTTTCATATCTTGTAGCATTTTAAGATTTAACAAAAATTATTTGTATAATTTATATAATCTGCTCATTCATCTCTCCAGCCATCTAGTTCAAAATCATTCAACTACAATTTCCTCTCTGGGCCATATTTTGACCGACATTAACAATGCTGAAACACAGTACATTGCAGTAATCACATCTTTGACAATTGCATACCTTTATAGGCAAACTTTGCCACCAAAGGAAAACATCAAATTATGCTTTAAATAATTAGGATTCCAAAAAAACAATTCTGAAAAAAAAAAAAAATATTTTCTACATCTTTATATTTTTTATATAGTAGACCCTCATATTACACAGTAGTTACGTTGCTGAAAATTCTGTGTTAATAAGTGTGTTATATAAACTGAAGAAGTTATTGGAAAAATAGGGTTAAGTTACATTCCTGCCCCCTCCCCCCCCAAGCTAAAACTTTTTTTAGACATCCAGATTTTACAAAAATAAAAATGGTAATGTTTTTGTTGCTTAAGACCACAAATTCAACAGAAATATTATTTACCTTAAATTGTGTTGCTGGTATATATCAATGATTGTGAAGAGAGTGGGGATGCATGGTGTGGCCCTATTGGGCTAAGGTGGACGGTTGTTGGCAGAAGTGGATGGTTGAGGTTCTGGTACTAAAGTCGATGGTTTGTACTGGAGTGTGCATAAATTCTGTAACGGATCTCTGGTTCTTTACCATGCAGTACATTACACATTATTTCCAGAAGCTTGGTATTGCCAGGTTAGAGTCAAGAGTCAATTGACTCAACTAGTTTTTTCATCATTTTTCTTATGTAGTTACACTTGAATGACTTAACTCCCCGATCCAGTGTTTGTATTAAAGATGTTGTATTAGAGGTAAAAATACAACTTTTACACATGGGGTCACATCCAGCAAAGCTTCTGGATGAGTATGGGAATTATCAAGAATGAAGAAAACCTTGAATGCCAGGTTCTTGCTGTGCAGGTAAAACTTTACTTCACGAATAAAGTGATGCTTAAACCAGTCAATAAATATTTCCTCTGTCATCCATGCTGACTGGTTTGACCTCCAAATTACTGGTAAGGCTTTTTTTTCATCTACAACTTTCAAAGCACGAGGATTCTTAGAGCTGTCAATAACCATGGGCTTACACTTGAAATCACCTAACGCATTACTGCAAAGGAGCAAGGCGAAGTGATCCTTCACTGCCTTGAAGCCCAGTGCAGCCCTGCGGAGACAGTGGTCTCACCCACAGCCAGGCGGCAGCCTAAGCTAAGGAAATATCCCATGGGCAACGCTCAAAATTCCCCCCCCTCACAAACCGAATCGTGTTTTAATTTTAACGAAGTGTTGTATAAAATTGCCAATATTTCAACAGTGTAATAATCAAAACGTGCCAAATAAATCCGTGTAATATGAGGGTCTACTGTATGTACTTTCTTACTACTCTTGCCACTGCTCACCAAGGTAGGGTAACAAACTCATTTACTGTAATACAATAGCTGTCTTGCCAGAAGGGACTGGACATTACACTTCTAATGACCCTCTGAACTGTAACATCCACTCCTATCACCCCAGAGTGAAGGCACGGCACTTCCCCCCTTCAGAACTCGGTTCTGGGAAACTGATTATGTAAAGGGTGGGGAATTATTTTGGCTGGTGGGATACTTCATTAAAGGTGGTACACTTCATGGGATACACTTAATATAGATGAAAATGCATAACATTAGCACAAAATAAAGCCTTGTATGTGTAACTACAGGATACAAAGTCAATTTTAACACCCAGTACACAGAAGTTTTTAGTAAATAAATGCATCACTAGCTGTATCTACTTTAGTGAGAAACAGAGAGAAGACTGAGCCTTGCCAGTATTAGTGCTGGACTTCCAGGTCAGTGGTAATGCTACTGAGGTGTGGGTGTGGCAGTCATTGTTGTAAGGTTGAGAATAAGTGTCTCAGGTGAGGATTTAGTGACTTCTCTTTGCCTAATTCTTTGGATTACTGTACTTGGGGTGTCCCCAAAGCCAGGTCAGTGGTGATTAGCTAGACTTGCTGTTTTCAGTGCCTTTTTCCCACACTGATAAAAAAAGAAAAATTTTTCCTACTGATACATGCAATGATGGGCCAAATTTGGGCTGCAGGCCACATATTGCTTTCCCCTTTGGGGTTATGAATTTAAAAATGCACCTTTTATATCTGAAACAATAATGTCAGGAATTAAAAAAAAAAAAAAATTGGTGTATTATAGTTTTGTCAAAACAGAGGTTTACATTACTCCAACTCACCTTCCTGACGGAGGGTAGAATATATGGCTTCCCATTATCATCACGATAAGCCCCCACACCAAGGTTCATCTTCTTAGGATTTGTATCTTTTTTAAAGGCTTCAGTCACACCAAGGATGGCATCAGGGGGACCCATTTCTACCCCACTCCACCGGGAACATATACAATATACCAAATACAAATTAATAAATAGTCCAGTATTACTTAAATTTCAGGCATATATACCTCCACTACAAAAGAATGTGGATCTTTCTACTGCAAGTATACTTTAAGAAACTTCAACAAACCACAAGAAAAATCTCATAAATGAGCAGGATATGAATCCATGGTGAGCCAGTCCTAAAACTCGCAATTTTACATTACTGATGTAGTATTAATTATAATGCACTTCATCATTATGTCATTAAAAACAAAGCATCTGTGGCTGTACTTTCAAGATTAAATGGGTGACGGCTTAAACTACTGCATCTATTTCATAAACCCTTGCATCCTAAAACATACACTGAAAGGCTACAGTATATGTTTGTACTGTTTTAAAAAGGAAAAACATCCTCAAACTTACAGCCATTATTGGTTCCATCAATGTTATTTTTCCATACAGAATACAAGGCAAATTGAATGCACACGGAAAAGGAAAAAAACCTCTGTCCAGCTTTCAGCATTTGATGCTGTTTTCGCCAAGAATTTGAGATATTTCCTAAATGGTAATAAAACTTTCGATACAGTATTAACAGAATACAATATTCATTAGCATTGTATGGAATTATAAAATAATATCCTTATTACTCAACCTACAATATTTCAAGAAGTTGCATTGATAATTTCAGTCTACAATGTAGAGTTTGCACCCTGAAATCAGAGGGTGAGCATTAGGCATACGGGAAAATCTAGCATGTCCCAAATTGATGGTATTTACCTCTCCCAAGTACCCCCCCACCCCATCCCTAAAAAAAAAAAAAAGGCAGTGTACATGAATATTTGAAGTATATTACTGTCCCTTACTACTGATACTAATAGTATTACTACAGTATTACTACAGCAGCGGCAGCGGCAGCAACGGTATCCTACCAGCTCTTCTTTCTCAAAAAACATCGCTCTTTCAAAACTTGTGATGGCCTAAGTGAAAGTTCAACTACATGAACCCACGTAGACCACAACATGACCCAAGAATACTAAGAATGTAACCCAAATCTTGACAAAATTAGAAGATCTAAGGAAGACAGCCCTGCAAAACCCAAACACTGCCTCCACTGCCAGACAACCACTTAACCCAAGCTCCGAGAAAACAAGCCTTCTCCTCCATTGCAACACAGTATCTACTTCAGTGATACTATGAAAGGATATCGCAGAAGAAACAACAACCAGTAATAAAAGAATAAAAGCAAGGACCCAGAACTCAACTTGTCTACCCAGCAGGACGCCGGTGTATCATCAACCCCCCTCACCACCGCCACCCGGAACAAACAACAACAAACATGGGCTGACTTCTCCCTCCAACTCCCACCCCCTTCAAAGGATTCATCCATGATAACTCGGGTATGTTTTATTCCTGACAATATCAAGGACTACATCGTTGCACTAGAAAATGAAATCAAAGATATCAAAGCAACACTCGAGCGACGAGAATCCAAGATAACCCACCTCGAGAATAAGATCCAAAACCTTAAAGAGAAGATTACATCGGGAAGTGTTGACACAGAAAATACTCTAAAAGCAGCTATAGCCAGTCACACTGACAAATAACAACAATAAATATGAAGGTTGAAGAAGCAATAAAGGGGACTGGAATCAGAAAAAGCACACTCGACTAAATGAATACCTCGATTTCCAAACGACAAAACTGAACAAGATAAGTTGTCTGATGCAGTTAAAAAAACAGTCCACACATTCCAAGTGACATAACACAAGCACAGTGCAAAGAAACTTGCTATCAGGTTTAAAAACAAAAACCACGTACAAGTCATCGTGCAAAACAATGAAATCAAGAAACACGTTTGCTAGGAAAACCAGGAAGTAAACACAGTATAATGATCCGACTTTCATTCATACGATAAAAGAAAGGACCTAATTAATTCAGCAATTACAATGAAAAATGGAGGTACATAAATAGTGTCTAACAAAAAAAACGTCAAAACCTTCTGTTCAGGCTGAAAAAACTTAAACAGGAAAACAAAATACATCAGTGTTTCACGCGAGATGGGAAAATACTAGTAAGGAAAACATCAACAGGACAACAATATACCATCTCAAACGAACATGATTCTCTACCTTCCTTAGAAAGCTGACATTTCTGTAACAGATTAGATAAGTGCCCTTAATACATATATACGTGTGGTGCAATATGTACGTTACAAATTATATTGTACATTATTTTTTTATTAATTTTCATCACTAGCTAATGCCAACTACCTCCAATACTCTATACTTCTTTCATACTGCTATTAATTGCTCATAATTTTAAATTACAAGTCAAATCTTACTCCAATTAAATATTCATTATTCTTACCTGTCCATTTAATTTTGTTTATTCCTACTTGTTTTTAGTCACTTTTCATTGTTATGCAATTAGGTATTTTCCCCAATTACTTTTTTGCAAGTACCAAAACTATCTTTTGCTAGCTAGTACCAACTACCTCATTTTTTTTACTTTTATTGTGCAATAAACTGCTCAATTTATTTAATATTACAAATCGGATCTTAAACTCCAAAACCCAAATTTATTATTTCATAGTGACCATCTTCCATTTAACTTTGTTTACCATTACTTAATTTTTAGTCCCTTATATATTTTCTCCTTTATTTTAGCTTTATATAACTACCCTAGTTTATATATTCACAATTTTTTAAAATAATAAAGGGTTGCTATTCTCGGGTGCTAAAGTAGAATAAGTTCACAATTTTGCCATTATATTCCAAAGCTCATTTATTTTGTTTACCACTTTATTGTTCACCACAACTAATATTAGCCCCTTTTTTATATTATAATTTTATACTATAAATTCTAACTTTAAAGAATTACCTTTATAGTACTACCTACTATCATATTCCCAAGCTCCATTATTTGATCATCACTTTATTTGTATTAGTCCCTTTTATATTGTCTCCTTTATTTTAGCTTAAAAAAAAAAAAAAAAAAAAACTACCTTAGCTCATTATTTTACATTTGTTAAATAATTCAGGTGCTATTTTTTAGCTTAAGACTATTTACTTTGTTTTATATTTAAATTTCTAACTATAGATTCACTACAAATCTTATGATTACAAGCATTGATCCTGATACCAACCTCTTATTTAATGACTTAAATGAATCAAACAGTTACTGTAATTACTACACTGCAGAACAATCAAAGGCACTTCTCAGTGCCAACAACATAACTATCTTTAACTACAATATCAGATCTTTAAGCAAGCATTACGATGACCTCATAGCATTACTAAATTCCTTACATGCCAATATGTCCATCATTACACTAACTGAAACCTGGCTAAAGCCTGATACTACAGATGTCTATTGCCATTCCTGGTTACACAGCCTTTACACAACTGTGGGCCCAAAGACCAAAAAAGGGGGTGGCACAGCCATATACTAACTCAAAACCAACTAGAATGTATCACTAATACTTGACAAGGGATGAACATGGGGAATATATAATAGCCAAATTCAAATCCAAATACCTACAAAAACCTCTCACATTGATAAATATCTACAGAGTTCCACACCCAAACATTAGCCAATTTAGTCAAAACCTAGGAAGTATGATAACTGATGCACGCATGAACAAAGATCACTTACTACTCTCAGGTGACTTCAATATAAATCTCCTGCAAGACCAGGCCCCCACACGTTACTGAATTCACAAACACAATGATAACTGTATGTTGCTACCAACAGTAACAAAACCTACAAGAGTTACAGAGACTAGTGTTTCCCTACTTGACCACATCTGGACCAACACCATACCCCCTTTAAAATCAGGCATAATTACAGATAATACCACAGACCACTACCCTACTTTCCTCATAACAACTCTTGGTAAATTACCCCAAGACACTACTAAAGTCACCTTCAGACTTCACAATGAGGCAGCCATTAATAACTTCACAACAGCAGTAGCAAACTTTGACTGGCACACTGAGCTAGAAAATCTATACAGATATTGACGAATGTATTAAAAATTTTCTAAAAAAGACCCAATACCTCTATAACAAGCACTGCCCTAAAAAATTAAAACAGATGACAGCTAAGAGACTGAACTTCCCTGGCTAACACCAGCATTCTCAAATTCATAAATACAAAACACCAATATAAAAACATACAGAATGGGTCACATAAACCAGAGCCCAAAACAAAACGTTACTCGTCAATCCTAACCAGCCTGATAAGAAGGGCAAAAAATTGTATTATGAGAACAGATTATCCAACTTTTTAGGTGATATAAAAAAGCCTGGAAAACCCTATCAGAAATCGGGGAACAAAAAAGATATCACGAAATAGCGAAATAAAATTAGCAAATCAATGAACCCCAACTCCCACCAACAGAAACAGCAAACAGACTCAATGATTTCTTCTCCACTATGGGACAAAACCTTCCCAATAAAATCCCAAGCTCAGATCCCCACCAAATGACTACCTCACCGGCAACTACCCGAACACACTGTTCCTAGCTCCGACTAACCCATACGAAGTCTCCCTTATTATCAACACGCTAAAAAAAAAGGCAGGAGATTTAAATCCCTTTAAACCACCCCTTTATATACAAAAAATGTCACAAGTGCTATCACCAATAAATTGCAACACTCTTTAACAAATCCATTGAATCCTCCACCTTCCCAAACAGTACTCAAAATAGCAAGGGTCACCCTGATCCACAAAGGGGGAGACCAAACAGAGTTGAATAACTATAGGCCAATATCAACTTACACCCTCTCTCAAAAATCTTCGAAAATTAATTCATAAACGAATCTACTCCTACCTTATCTCCCAAAATATACTCCAACCCCCTGCCAATTGGATTCAGGCCTAATAAAAATACTAATGATGCTATTATACACATGCTAGAACATATATACACTGCAATAGAGAAAAAAGAAGTCCCACTGGGATCTTCATTGACTTACGAAAAAGCTTTTGATACAGTTGACCATGACTTGCT